AAGAACTTATCATCCAGAGATACAGTCTATTTTCAGAATCATGAGTGTTACACTATGGAGAACATCAGTGGAAGTTCATATGCTCTGATTTCAAATCAGACATCTTAGCTCCAACCAATAAATCCAACAAGAGAATACCATGTCTCTCATACTTATTGGGTATCATCCAAATATAAGTTCTTGTTCCCAGATTACTCTACCACTGTTTATTTTCACTATATTTTAAATGCTAGGAAGGAAAAAAAAATAATACAGAACATTAAGCCATAAGCCATGATTTACAAGCTACAATAACTAGATTCAAATATAATAATCCAAAAAGTAAACCATATTGATTGAGCTCTGTTATAAAGTTACTAGTGCATAATCCACAATTCATGGCTGATCCCATTAAATGTTTGCTAATAACCATTCCCAGCTACATATTAGCAATGAACTATGGCTTTTATGAGAAAGCCTATAAATTCTCAGAGGCTCTAAGTTCATATTAATTGTGCTTATAAGCTAGTTATGTGAACAATTTGTGGAGATTTAAAGATAACCCTTTAAAATAGAGTTGGACAACATGTGACCTCTAAAGTTGATACCCATTAATACCCATTAGCCCCAATCAACAAGAGCATTGGGAGATTATGGAAGCCAAGGTTCAGCAGTATCTCTTAAAACCACAGGTTTACATCTGCAAAAGAAGATTCAATTTCCAACACAGACATATAAAATAACACTTACTCTGTTTTCCTTCTCAGTTTGTCCTCAAAAATATCATTTAAATTAATTGCCACTTGTCCCAGAAACTTATCAAGCCCAACAAGAGACCTGTGCATGACTATCAGGTAGAGGATGTATTTTTCGGAGTTCCCTTCCATCAACAATCCAGGCAACTCAAATGAAGCTTCTTCTTTCCATATTGGATCAAGGGTCTTCTCTGCCACTGAAGTGGAGTATTTCTCTTTTCCCAATTGTATGATAGTGTATGTATCATTAGTGCCACTTTTGCCCTTTGGCTTGAGACCTCTGGCCTGAAGGACTGTAACCTGCACATGAGTTGGGAACCACTTTTGGGCTTGCTCTGCCAACATAGTAATGAAGGGGGGGATTTCAAGTAGCAATAGCCACAAAAATAAATTATTGTCTCAAAAAGTACATTTAACAGTGGGGAAGCCTGATAGAGCCTTCCAGATATCTAGGCAAATCTCAAGGTATTCGTTGACCAGCTTTAACGAAGTGGGCCAGGTTTCCTAGTTTAGCTGACCGTCGTCCCTTCAAACTCTTTTCTCCGATGTTAATTTCCAGCATTCCTCTGTGATCTTAGATACTTCTACTCCTCCATACTTCTCTATTCAAGAGAGTATTTTATTTTATTCTCTACCCACCCGATTTTCACCCGCACCCAAACCCGACCGGAGACTACGGGCTTCAATAAGAAACCTCCCCGCCTCCCCAGGGCAATTTTGCACTTCCCCTGACTAACACCCGTCAAGATTGCTCTGCATCCTCTCCGGCAACAACTCGCGAAGCAACCTACACCTCGCCTCTTACAATGCGAACAGGGGTGGGGGAGTCAGGCAAGAGCTAGCTGCGTCCAAGGGTCTGGGTCTACCGAAGACACGGAACAAGCTCCTGCTGAGGTAAACTGGACCCACCCCGCCGGGGCTCTGCCAGGCCGCCCTTCCCCGGTACAGCTTTCTGGTTGCCCCTCGGGAGCCCTGGGGGAGAAAAGAGGCTGGAGAGAGAAAGACGGGAAGGAGGACAAGCCGCGCGGGAGCTCAGCAACACGGTCGCCCAGCCGCCTCCCTTCCTTCGGCCGAGACGCTCCAGCCGCCGAGCCGAGGCCCCACTTCCGCCTTCCCCATGTTGCCTAAACCGGCGCCGCTGAGTGGGAGCGAGTGAGCGGTGCCGCCTCTTTCCCTGGGTCAGAGGGCGAAGGGTAGGGTTCACGCAGGCCAGCTGCTTGCCTTGCCCTGCCCTGCCCTGCCTTGCCCTACCCTGCCCTGTCCAACCGCTGCCGGGGCCCGTCGGGATAGAGGAGGGGCCGGGATCCCAAAGGATGGCGCGGTCACCCACAGCTCGCGCAGCCCAGCGGCCACGCAAGCCGCATCCCAGGCCACAAGCACGGGTGGGCCGCGGTTAGACTGAGTCCCTGTTCGGAGAACGGGCTATCTGCATAAAGACCGCTTCCAGGCTGTACTGTACTTGATGGAGACTTCGCTTCTGGGTTGAGTCCTCTTTTCGCCTGACTCGGCTTGGTTGCACAACAGTAAACGTTCACGGGGGCTTGCGATGGACTCGGTTTTAAAGATATTCCTGATTGGTTAGTAAAAACGCCTTTTTTTTTTTTTTTTGGTCTCGTTCATGCCGAAGTGCCAGAGAAACCACAGAACACAATGTGGGCGAAGCTGTGAATTGCTCAAGAAGGGCAGGCAAATTACAGTGACAATGGAAAGTAAACCGATTAGGAAAAGCATAGAAAATTAAGGAGGGAAAAAAGAGCTAATGATATATACTGACCATAATGGAATGGCTGACTCAAAAACTCCTCATAAAAATGATGAATTGTATTGAGTTGGTGTAGTTCAATAGTTAAGGTATTCAGTGAGAACCAGATTCAGGTTGCCATCTGTCCTTAGAAATCACTAGGTGACTTGGGGCCAGTCACCACCTTTCAGCCCAATATGTCCAACAGAATGGATTTGGGGATTAAATGAAGAGAGATCCAAGGATGTCAATTTATGCCTCAGAGGAAATGTAAGATGATGATGATGATCCAGAGAAATGGAGTGAGTGTACAGTTCCCAAGCAAAATTAGAAAAAGAAAGTCATGATTGGCTTAACAATAGCAACAGGTGCCGGGTTCACACTTGAATATAGGGATGATGATAAAGGCCTTGGCAATACCAGTATACCAACTAAGAAAACAAAAACAATTTTAAAATAAAGGCATGCTCATTTAACTGCTCTAGGAAAATAGATTTCAAAACATCAACCAATAAAAGCACTTGCATTTTGCAAGTACCTCCTAGATGGTGGGATACAGGCAACAGTATGTTGATCTGCAAGGTAGTCTGTAGATTAGAGACCTAGCTTGTATAGAATACTGTAGTGTGACTGTGCTTGGGATAAAATTGGACTTAGATTTTGCTTGTAGTATGCTGGCCAAAATCTGTCAGGATTGACTGGCTGTCCTTGCCATTAGCTGGGAATACTGTATGTGGCATGAGAATGATTAAGGGTGGTAGCCTAGTCTATACCTTCTCTATCTTATTGAAATTGTTATGTGAAAAGCCTTAATTCACCAAAGCTCTGATGGACAGCAGAGGTCAATGTTTATGGCCCTATCATTGTGCTGGTGTGCTATTGAATCTTCCCAGATTCCCAGTAGCTTACAACAATGAAAAGATAGTTCAGTAGATATTAAAATATCTACAGTAGAAAATAAGTAATGTGGACTATCCTGCAATAAAATAAATATATAAATACAGATCAACTTCTGATGCAACAACATCAACAAGAAGAGTGCCTCTTTCACAAGACCATCACTGGAGGGGAGGCTGTTCTTAAGTGTATGTCTGACATGCTGCCTTTACTGGCCTTAAGTCCTCTTCTAGAAAATGGTACTGCCAGTAGCTTCTCCTGGGAGGATTGAATTGGACACGTTGATTTTTGTTGGTCCATATAGGCTTTGTAAGTTAAAACTATCTCCTTGAATTGCATGTGGAAACTGTTGGCAACCAATTTAGAGACGATTGTATAGATGTAATATGTCTATGGCAATGAATAAAAAAACTACATTTTTGAACCAACTGTAGTTTCTGAGTGGTCTTCAAGACAGCCTCATGTAGAGTACATTGCCAAAGTACAGCTAAATGGTGATAATATCATGAATTACCATATCCAACTCCTCTTCTCCAAGTAGGGCTGCAGTCTTCCTAGCCACAGCTTCTACCTATCACCCCAACAGCAGCTCTATCTTGGCTTGGGCTCAATTGTAGTCTCATTCATCCCATCAAGACCCCTGTTGCCTTCAGACACTGAGACAAGACTGAACTCCAGCTGGGCCTAGGGTAGCAATAAATACATACATTTATCATACTGCACCTTGAACCAGTGGATGACCTCTCCTGGCATCCAATGCCATCTCCATCCCGCATCCAGCCTGTACACAGACTGAAAAAGGTGCAGGTAATCTACTTACTCTAGGGCGCTTTGCAGATGAATTCCCACTACATATTCAACAACCTTCCCCCTCAAATGTTGGAGCCTGGATGAACATTATCAAGCACAGCCACAACAAGGAAATAAACAGAACTCCTAGACCTTTGACGAAGTCCCCAGACGCCCTCTGAAAGCCCTCCAGATTGACTGACTACCTGGGCAGACTTTCCTAATGGGTCCCCCAATTCTTTAGGTGACAATTAGTCTTAATTGGACCAGGAAGTGATTGGGCCACAGCAAAGGGTTAGATGTAATGTCATCCATATCCAAATCACAGCATAATTTATCTGGGATGAAAATGAGATCCAGCATACATCTACTGGCATATATCAAGCCAGGACAAGCCTATGGTCACTTTGGAAGCCATGAACTCACTGGCTTTTCCTGAGCAACAGGAAATGGACGTTGAAGTCACTGAACACCAAAAAGTAAGGAGGAAAATGCCAATCTAGAGACTAGATCAAAGAGGGAGGACAATGGGGCAACAAAATATTTGGTATAACAGTAAGATCACAGCTTATCTCTATGGCCCAACATAGGCATTCACACCTGGTCATCTCAGGAATAGAGTCCTGGAACACAAAATGTCCTGTAAGATCAGTATCATTCACCCATAAAGCCATGGGCTCAAGGTTGCTGAAGGACCAAAAGCCCAGAAATGCAGAAAAATAAATATATTTTGTGTAAAACCAGGAGAAAGGGGAGGATTTAATAGGTCTGAATGAAGGTGTTTGGATCGTATGGAGTGAACAAAATAAAAAGGATCTGGGTCATGTGGAGACTCAGCTATGAATGAATGAATTGTAATTGCTTGGTGAAGACCAGCTTAGAAAAAACATGTTTTAAACATACATTGTTTCATGTGTGAGATGGAAAAGGAATGTATCCAAAAGCCTGACTAATTTTAATTTTTTATGATGCAAGATTGAGACAATTAGTGAGGGATGCAAGGGTGATGAGAGGTACCAAATGTGGGACAGAACATTTTTGGTAGCATCAAGAGTGAATCTTGAGAAAAAATGGATGTTAAAAAAAAAGATAGAAGTGAAAGAAAATAGAGTGAAATGGCAACTACTGCAGGAAGAGAAGGTAGTGGAAATTATTAATTTCCCAACAGAATGAATGGAAAGTGGATGCAAGGAAAGAGGATGTAGAAGCTGCATGAAACAGAGTGAAAAGAGTTACGTTGCAGAATGCCACACAAGTCTGTGATAATAAGTATTGTATGAAAAAGCATGTTTGGTGGAGTAGTGAAGTAAAAAACTGTGGATGTGAAAAATACACATAAAAGAATGATACTAAGGTATTAAATAATGTGCATAGAAGGTATTGAATAATGTGTATAGAAAAAGAAATTAACATAAAAGCAGAGGGGAACGCAGAGCGATTTTTATGGAATAAAAATTGTTCTTGAAATTGGTGAAGAAGGCTCTACATGCCTCCAGCAGAATAAACGGATGTAAGAATAAATGTGAAGTCATTTGGAATGAATGGAATAAAAGGAATGCTAGAAGGAATATTTTGAGATGAGTTAAGGTTGTTTCACTTATGGTCTGATGATGAGATGAGAACAATGCCATGCAACCAAGGGAAAAGATTAGCATCATGACATGATCTCTGCAAGTTAGAGTGGGTACATAGAATAATTTGCATATCTGCTTCACTACAAACTGTGTTGCAGCTTTTTAGTTTGAGTATCTTTCCCTCCATTAACAAGACTAGTATTTCTGCAATCTTTAAACCTCTTAATTGGGGGGAAAAATCATTGTTTGCAGTAAAACAAATCTTGAGTTTATGGTTTGAGGATTGCTGGTTCACTCTCCTGAAATTAAAAAGGCAAAATGTATGTGTGATAACCACAAATGAATCTAATAATTATCCAGTGCACAATTAGATGATGTAATGGGATTTAACTCAGTAGACCACAAAACCACAATGTTAGCCTGAAGAACTTCTGAAAAAAGAAAGAGCATATTTCCAGTGTGTTTGTGTGTGTGTGTGTGTGTGTGATATGTATTTACATTTAGGAAAAGAATTGCCAAATTGAGCAAATCTACACTTTATGATTCAGTTACAGTGGCAATGAGTGCACTGTTGGTTAAGGACAAGGTTAAGGACAGATCATCATGGAGAAAATCCAGCTGTGTGGTCACTAAAAGTCGACAGTGACTTGATGGCACTTAATCACACTTTATGAAAATATTTTGGTTGTTTAAAAACTATTACCCAGTATATATCTACTGGATACAATCACATTTTCCCTTCACTGAGCAATATTAGATCTCCAAGAATGAAATACATCCAAAGAGTGCTTCTATAGAATCTTTGGAAGGGTGCACCTCAGCTAGTCACCATTAACAAATTCATGGGCACATGTTAAACCAAATGGTAGTTTGTTTCTTTATGCCTTAAGATGTTGTATATACCCAGTCATTAAGGTTAGTAACTTTATTGAATAAATTATAGTTAAAGAAACCAGGGCATAAACTGTGTAAAAACAGCTGTAGTTTTACTGATCTGGAGACCCATAAAAGTTAAATACCATACTTCAATTACAAACCACTGGCTTAAAAGATGAAATGGGTAGTAATAGCAAAACGAAAACAAAACTTTAAAAAACCTAGATTACTTGATAAGTATAATAGTCTTTGTTTCCCTGAAAAGGTTTTAGCTTTAAAATATTAGTAAAAAATTAACAAGTCAGCAATTTATTTGATTGACTTCACTTAATTCTGATTTTACATCTTATTTTAAGCATTTTGTAACCAATATAAACTCTAAAATAATAATATACTCTCCAACTATTCCTGTTTATAAACAGCAGTCAATATTATCTGATAAATTCCTGTCCATTTTTCTTTTGAGAAAATCTTTTGTGTACCTCAACAAGATGTAAGCGTACATAAGTATGTATGTGTACAAGAATACTAGACAACCCGTGACCCATTGGGTCATCGTTTCAGAAATATTTCCTTACCTAAACAGAGAAACAGAATGACCAAGGGCAAAAAAGCAGTGGGAGTGGGAGTGAGTTGCAAATTGTTGCTGGCTTCCCCATTGACTTGCTTGTTGGAAGCTGGCAAGGAAATCCTTCCTTCCTTCCTTCCTTCCTTCCTTCCTTCCTTCCTTCCTTCCTTCCTT